TTTAGAGTTGCACTAAAAACTAAAATCAATTTTTCGAAAAGTGGTTTTGCGTCAAAATGACCGTCTTTCCTTCATTTTTTGTTTGTTTTTCCTGCCACATTTGTAAACTATTCGAAATTTTAAATTTTGACCTCCCGAATGCACCAAATAGATTCACTTTCCTAACAGAAAAGTTGCTGTTGAAGAAAATCGAAGAACTTTTACTGCCCAAACCGTTATGACACACACAAAAATAAACAAAAATAAAAAAACACATCATTGTAAAAACAAAACATTCATTTCTCCGCCCTCCGCTCAAAATCAAAAAGGTACCTACTTGTGGCGGAGTTTACATGCGCCTTTTGCCTTTGGTAAATACCTAATATTTTCGTCCCTGTCAAAAAATTGAGTTCGTAGGCGTTTCATCTTTGGTAATATTTAGTTCCCGGCTTATTTTGATAGGACATTTATCCCTCACCACGTTTTTTTGCTTTATTATTTCTATTATGGTACGGCCAGCGAAAAGTGAGCCGCGATACCAAAGCTCCTGGTGGTCGAATTTAATCAGGACTTCCACAATTATATGCGATTACGCTTAAATACACCGCTTGGAACGTAACGGTCACGACTCACTTTTAGCTGGCCGTACTACATAACTTCTTGAATGATATTTAAATTAAATAATTAAGTTAAATTAAGTTTTAATTAAAAAATTAACCAGTCTAAGTCTATCCACACAACATTCACACTTCGTCTCTCTCCTTGCCCTGAAGTATCTATTTATGGCACTCAAATTACTACTTCTTCTACAGTCAAATATCTAGGACTCACACTTGATCGCAGACTTACCTGGGCCCCCACCTTAGATCTAAAAGACAAAATTTAAACCTACAGCTGCGCCTGTTAAAAACTTTTTGCAATAACAACAAATATACACACATTAAAATTAAACTCTTAATTTACAAATCTCTAATTAAGCCCATCTGGACATATGGCATACAACTCTAGGGTAATGCAAAAATATCAAACATCAACAAAATACAAACCTTCCAAAACTTAGCGCTAAGGAAACTACTTAATGCTCCTCCTTATGTCTCCAACCTTTTCATTCAGCAAGATCTCAGGATGAACTCCGTCAAAGATGAAGGAAAACTCTACTATAAGCGGTTTCACAGTAGGTTACTGAATCATCCTAACCCTCTTATAAAAAATCTAGCAGTCCCTTCGATCCCGGGTAACCCCTTCAGACGTCTCAAACGTAATTGGTGTCGTGACCTGCTAAATGCTTGATTCCTAGATCAAATTTCTCCTAATAAACTAAACAAAATAGGAAGTGTCATCAATGGGGGGTGGCTTCTTCCGTCATATTACTCATGTGTTTTTCTACTCTTATCTAATTTGCTTATTATTCTATGAATAGATTGCAAATATCTAGTAAAAAATAAAAAATAATAAAAAATAATTAAGTATAAAAAAAATAATATTAAGTTTGGAAATTAATATGATATATTGGTTCATTATTTAATTGATAAAAATAAATAAATAATAGATGTGTCAATAACAACTAATTCTAAAGAAAAAAATAGAAAATTCATACTGTAGACTGTAGTTGTAGTAACTAGTAAGTACAGAATTTTCAATTTAAATATAATGACGTCTGGTTTCGAATTTTGCCAAGTGGTATTAGTTATTACGGTTATTTTTGAAAAGTGAAAATTCTTAGAACTTCTAATAACCATTGGTAAGAACGAAATAAAATTCAAGGAAAAGCGGAAATTTTCAAATAAAACCGGTTATTGATAAAAATCGATTGTTTTTCCAATGTAACTCTAAAAACGAATAAGTACCTATATACCTATACCTTTATACTTGAAATGTTCATCAAAAGTTTTTATTGGTTTTTTACTGTACTTGGTGTCTTGTATAAATCAAAATATGTTGACTATTTTTTGGCTTTTTAGAAACATTATCTATTGATTATTTTAATAAAACTTTTTACCAGCCTATAATCTATATTATTATATGTTATAAACACGATGAAATTTTGAGTGTAGATAATGTTTTTGGCGAATTATAAATTAAACTTCTGTACGTCCGTATCTAAATAATTAACTATAGTAAAACAAATTACTTTGAAATTAGCAATTAGCAATATTAATTATTTTAACAAAACCTGAAGTCAGAATCGTTTTTAGCATTTGCAATGATTGATCATAGAATTTAAATTTAACACATGTGATATACGTAAACTATACGATGCACGGCACTACATCCTGTGTACAGCACAACAATAGCGGTTACCTACCTTCTTCCTTTTCTGAAGACGTTTGAAGTTCGATACATTTTTAACGAAATTGCAATATAATATCCGAACGAAAAATAATGATTTTATTTATTTTGCTGTCATCCTAAAAATATAAAACAGACTATCGCAGGGACATGACTGAACTTGAAACTTTTTGCCATTACCCATATCATTATTAATTTTTAACACAATGTCACAATAACATTTTAAAAATAAATAATTTTAATTTAAAGGCATTTTAATTAATTTTGTTTAAATTTCGAGCTGTTAAACGTTTGTAGATAATCGAGATGTTAACAACAATATTAGCCATACATTACAATATAAGTATCTATATTATAATTATAGGTATCTAGTACAGTAGTAGCCAGTGTAGGTATAGGTACTGCGCAATATGGCTATATTGGTATTGGATGCCTATTTAGGTATCTATACTAATTAGTAGTTAGTACTGACCAGTGACCATGTCCACAAACGACCCACGTATTATGATTTCATATAAAATCAACATATCGTTTAAAATCGCCAACTTTTACAGAAGGCTATATAAAACAAATGATCTCCGCGGATCGATTTTGCGCCGTCGTCCTCAACTCATACCAACAATGGTGACAAAAAGAAAAAAATTGGTAAATTAATTTTGTTACTGAATAAAATAAATGGTTAAAAGGGCTCAATAGTTTAATGTTGAAACGAAAATGGATATTATTTTGTAGAGGATAACGGTATTATATTTTTGGAGGAAAACGAATCCGTCCTTTTTGTCGGCGCAATTAATATTCGCTGGTAGAGAACATCGCGGGTGCACTGGGTGCAGCAGCTGCAACGTGCCTACGCGCGTATCATGTTATTATATTGCGCATCTGCAGACTACTTTCGTCGATGCCGGGGAGGTGAGGGGGGGGATGCGTAGTATGTTTTTCGTTTCAACCTACAAATCACGGGATCGGGGACGGTGTTGTTCAACAAAGACCACACTGAGCCGTCAGAGCCTACGCCAGTCTGAGTTCTGCCAAAAGTAGACAGCTGAAATAAAATTAAAAATCTTTTTCTTCCGTCGACGATGAACGCGGATGGCGGCTATAAATTATAATGTAATATTAGGATGTAGGCACAGAATAAGTTACTTAAATCATAACATATAATATATTTATACATAATTTATACCTACGCGTAGTGTATTATCATCATTATTATGGTTTTTGATTAGCCCATATATCATAGGTACCTATTATACTATAATATAATAAAATATAAATACCTATTATACACATCAATATATTATTATGTTTGTGGAATACCATTAATTAAATGATAAATCCCACATGCCCAGGTGGTTGTTTGGCGGTTCGTTCGACGCACCGCTCCAAAGTCCAGGCCACGATTAAACATATTTTTGGCCATAATGCCATATGCGTAGTACTCAACTCCATAGGTATCAAATGCGTATTGTGTAATAGTATTGTACTTTTATAGGCCATAGTACATTAGTTCAATAGTAGGTTGAAGCGTTGGACATAATGTCATCGAAGTGTGCGTATATATATATAAATAATAAATAGAATATATGATACTGTATACTATATTTTAAATGTCTTATGGGGATCCGGACTAATAATAATGACTCAACATTATCGGACAGTACTCGCCACTAGGTCTCGGCACTTCAGCAGTAGCACGATAAGGGACAAGGGCAATAATATGTTATTTTGTGTAGCCGTATTTAATTAGCACCAAAAGTGTCGTATAATATTGTTTTTTCGATGTATAGATGCTATCGATTTTGTGCGGTTTCCACTCCAATAATAAATTGCAGTAGTTATTTCGTAGGCAGGTATTGTTTAAAATAGAAACCGATAACCGGCAGCCTAGACTCTCGAGCACGTCACGTCATAGCAAATAATATTATATTATTAATTTACAACATGACGACTGTAAGTGGAGTGGAGTAGTGGAGTACTCAGATAGCGATTAGCGGCCGTGTCGCGTTGTTTGCACAAACAATATTGTACAATCGCAGATAATAATAATATCATTATAACACAAGACGTATACTATGAAAAGTAAACAACCGAGTATTATAAAAAGGATCTATCATTATCCATGCGGTTTCGCCGCGGAGCTTGAGCGTTTCTCCTCGCTGGAAGTTCGCGACAAAACACGGCCGTGTCGCCTTGGCATCTGTAAATCGAGCGTGCGCGCGCGCCCGATCTCGCCATACGCCTATGCTCGGCGTGCAGGCGGGGGGAGACGGACGCGGGACGACACGGTGATCAGGGACGGGCGCGCGCCGCGCGGTTTATTGGCAATCTACGACTGTCGTAGTACGACGATATAGAACACACACACACATATATAATTTTTTTTTTTCCCGAGTAGGCAGTAGTAACGCGGTAGACCGTATAGAACGGCTGGTACGACCACGCACGTCAGTCGCTACTCGCCACTAGCCGGTGTCGCATGCGCGTTTTGTTTGTGCGCTTAGATCATCTGCCGATCCGACGTTACTATTATTATTATTATTATTATTATTTATCACCGGCGTACGAATCGCATCATTATTATTTCATCCCCGCTGCGCGGCGTGTCGGTATCGCTCGAATTTTTATTTCGCGTCTTTTTCCCGTCGACCGCACGCGTTTTGCCTCCGTCGTATTTTTCTAGAGCTATTTTCGTTCGTTCGTTCGGTGGCTGTTCTGCGCCGGTCGCGTTCTGATCCCGTTTCGAAGTTAAGATAATTATTCTATTATTTCGGGCCGCGTCTCTAGATTCGAATTCACGTCGATCTCCATCAATCGGCGAATCCAGTGAAATAAAATACAGGTAATCATCGGGATTCGGGACTGAGGATTCTGCGATCGTTATTTGGATCTGACTGATCTGAGTGGAGGGCACTGATTTTTAGGCACTCGTGACTTGTCTCGTATGGCGGGATAAGTCCGTTGGTAGGAGGCACCTACCGATAACATATGTAACAATATATTGAAATGTTTAAAATATCATTATTATTGTTTTTAGTTGGTAAATTGAAATTCTGAGCTTTGTCCCTTTTTCTGAATAATATTGCTGTAAGTACAGCTGTTCTCGTTTTCCATGCTTATACTGCAGCTGATAATTTGACTTATAATATAATTATGTTGGATCTCCAAACATTACTCATTATGAAATTATAACTAAAAAATAAATATATTTTTCACAATTTTTTATCGTTATCATTTTTTAGAATTTTTTTTAAAATAACAACAAACATTTATAATTTCCTATTCTGAAAAATAATATTTCAATATGTACATAAAAATAGAATTTTGAAAGATTTGAACCATTTGTTAGTTAGTTATACTTATGAGTTATAATTAAAAATATTTAAAGTGTAGAAAAGATATGGAGTTATTGGATCAACATATTGCAGGGTATGCTTGTGGCATGGTACTCAATTTAACTTTAAATACTTGAAACTTAAAACCTAGGTTAAAACTCATTAACCACTCGTTTCGAAGTTCAATTATTTGTATGTATGAAAATAATTCAAAAAATATTTTGCTTTGGAATATGAAATTAAAAATGTTGTACCCATGTTGTACCCATGTTGGCGTATTTCTAGTTTACTGGGCACATTTTTTTTTTCATTCTTACGTACTTTTTTAAAGACGGTGGTGCAAAATAAAATTGGCGCAGATTATTAGTATCGAGATTATAACCGTCTGGCGATCATGGATTGGCGGCAGTACTATACTTGTCAAGCAATAGGTTATGTTACTCGTTGTGTTAGCTCAAGTTTACCTAACCCCGAAAGGGATCTCCTCCCTCAAAGGTTGACTATGTACAGATTAGAGGATGGAAGACTGTGCACCCAATTAGATGTCCTTGGTACCTTAATTTTGGAAATAACTCAAACAATAAATATAAAAAATGGAAAATCCAATAAATGTAGAAAAACATTTATATACTTTGATTTATGCTGATATAAAAATATAAATTTTTTTTATCAATAAATTAAAATGCAAATTTATTGCAGAGATCAATTTATTTGTGTTTTAGATTTCCTATATTATGTTTAATAGTACCTGTAATATTGAAATAATATTACAATTTGTAAATGGTAATACGTATACAGTTATAAATATAATTATGTAGTCTTTATAATATAATAATATAAATGGATTCATTTGATAATAAATTAATATGAGAAATTATAAAATTTTCATAATTTTCAACATTTTGAAATTTCACAAAAAAATGTTCACAAAAGTTTACATCACTAGGAAAAAAAAATATGATAAAATGTAAATAAAAAGGGTTCTTGGTGTACTTGAAAAGTTCCAGTTGATGCCATTTAATTATTTTAAAGATGGATGGGGTAGTCAGGGGATAACTTTTTGAAAAATATTACGATAATAATATTGTTTTATTTAAGTAAATATGGCTAAATAGGTATAGGAGGTACAATAAAAAAAAAATTATTAAATGCTTGGATAATCATGTTGTTTACTATCAACGGCTTATTTTTAATATTACTACAATGGGATAAAATTGTTTCAGGGTCTTTTAACAAATTTAGTTTTAACTTTTGGCTACTGTTAATAATAGTAAAATACACAATTAAATAAGACGTCATAAAATAAACATGCTATCTTTCAATTTAGTACCTAATAATGAAAATAACTGCTGTCAGTCAGTTGTACAGTTTATTAATATAAACTGTAAATAAATTGTTGAGGTATTTTGTTTGATACCAATTAGATAATAAACTAAATGACGCTGCTCTATATATTTTTACCATCATTTAAGATCTAAAATTCTTAACTATACTTAGAAAATATATTATGAGTAAAATCAAGACAGATTACCTGTCATACAGTTTTTGCAACTGATATGTCAGTGATATTTGGTAGCCTTTGCTCAGTATCTCCGATCTCATACCTTTATAGCTTTAGATCGAGCTGTAGATACTTTAGTAACTTGGTGCTATTCCAAAATTACTGCTATTAAGTGACCCAAAGACTATAATTTTTGGTTAATAATATTTTTTTTTTAGATTTTGTAAATAAATGAGGCTAAGTACAAACATTTTAAAATTTTGTTCATGTTTTTAATTTCCTTTAGGTAGATCTACTTACTGGTTATTTTAAGTAGGTAAGATGGTATTACGATATTAATGTTAACTTTGTTTATAAAGTTGAGTAGGTAACCTCCAGGTAATATACCTATTGATTTTTAAGTAAAAAGTTTTTATTTAAGCTATATTATAAATCTTTGTTACATATTATGTACATTCCATATTGGTATACTTTGAAGATGACCCTAGTTGAAAGTTCCAATTTTTCAAATGAAGTCTTAATACCTACCTTATATATTATTTACAAGTTATTATAAATGCTTGTTGAAAATATTAAATTATGTTCTTATGTTCTTGATTGTTTTATTCATTTTTTTATTTTTATTTTTTTGATAGTTCCACAATGGATTTGGAATTCGACTCTCCTACGGTGTTCATTGAAGATGTCACATTACCTTCATTGTTGACAAGTTTTAGTACATCAACTACAAGTTCAGTAGAGTTCACATCATCCGAATCAGAGTCAGAAACTACTCGAATACCCATTACCAAACCGAACACAAATAAGTATATTAATTACAAAGGTCCAATAAAGTCATATTCACTAGCTGATTTAACGACAATAAAATCTTTCAAACCACTTATACGAGAAGATTCAGCTATATATTCTACAGAAACATTAACCAGTGCCATGACTTCTAGAACAGAATCAGGTATTCATAACTCTAATAGTTGTCTGAACTCCTCAGGTAAAAATAAGAAAAAATATGCACATGTTGAAAGTAAAGTAAAACAATACATTAAAGATATTAAAGATAATGAAGCTAAAAGTAAAGCTATAAGATATAGTTTACAACCTTCATCAAGAAAACAGCAAGTAAATAAATATGTTGATGAAATGATTAAAACTGAAGGTGAAGAAATTATAAATTTAAAGAGCAATTTGAAAAAACTTGAAATTCAATTATTGGAGAAAAATAGACTAATAGAACAACTCCAATACAATTATAAAGTAATGGAAAATAAGTATAATTCTGCGACAAATATTATTTTAAAATTGGCCAAACCTAGTAGAGATGTGTTAAAATTTACTGAAAATGAATTAATAGAGCCATTATCCCCGGGTTATAGTATACCGCCCCCTAAAGAAGTTTGGGGCCGTGGCTATAAATTAAAACCGTCAAATACGTTATCAGCAATACAAAAAGAAAACTCAAATCTAGAAAAAGAAAATGGTCTCAAGGTTCGAAAAGTGAAATCAGGAGGTGACTTAATAAATTATTCCAATATTGGTGCCTACAAAACACTGAGAGACTCGAGATCTGCTATACAAAAGGTGAGTTATTAGATAATTAATCAAGTCATAAATAAGATAAAATTTAGATTCAAATATTATATAGGTACAAAAAGTGTGTTCAACTGAAATATTGATAACAGGTAATTCTAGGTATTTATATTAAAAGTTAAGAGACCAAAAGGCAAAAGTGCTATTAAAATTTAGTCAAAAAGGTAGGTACATTTGTGGTTGGATTTTAAATTTAAATTCATAATTTATCATTACATCTGAATAATGATTCTGAGCAGAGCCTTGATCACACTGTGTTTGCTTTAAATGCTTTGTCTATGAAAACTGGAGAAAATTAAAAAGTGACCACTTCTAAGTTCTAAGTTAAAAGTTAAAATCATATTCTATTTCTAATTGACTTGAAACTTTGATGTACTCTTGTTTTCCGAAAAGTGTTTCTACGAAAATTCGACATCATTACCATTGTAACCTAACCTAGTCTGTAAATTATATATTGTTACAATCTTAGAATATTTGTTTAACTTTTGTATTAGTAGGTACTGGGTAGTTCTCTAAATAATTCCTATATTTTTACTTTCGGATTTTAATCTTTGTATGAACAGTTTAATAAATTTTGTTTTGTATCAGGTTTTAATGGTTATAGGCTAATATTATTGTAAGTTTAATACACGTAAAAACATAAGCTTACCATATTATACTCTGGTTTATATGTTTAAACATACCCATCAAAATATTGCCACTTAAGAATGCTTTTATATAATATATTTTTTCTTCATGCATGAACATAAATTAATTTTTACCTATTTCTACATTTTTTATAAATAATCCACCCTTATATCAAGCTTAATAATACATTTTCAATTCTTTCATAATTTAAAATGTGCTATACCTTCTGTGCTCTTCAGTGCATGAACCTTCCCGCTTCTGAGGACAGCATGAATAAAACAGATAAGGCTGACAAATGCGTTTTAAAATATATTTATATAAAAACAAAAAAAAATTTCAAAATACTTTTTGGAATATGTTCCAATTAGTCATAGCAGGATATATTTAGAATCTATAATATTGAATTATCAATTAATATATTTAATTGAACTTACCTATGTACGTTTTTAATCTCATATAAATACTTGTAACATAATACATTTGGCTATGTGTTCTTTTGGCAGTGTCCCAGTGTTCTCCCTGTCTACTGACTTTTACATAGAATGTGTTTATTTTTATACATTGAAGACAGCTTTCGAAATGTCACGACTTCTAAAACAATATTCTGAAATATGTACAATAAAAACAACTTTAGTGTTAAATGTTACATCTGTAAAAACTTTACTTCGTAATTAAATATATATTTACCTAAATAACTTTTAAAGACTAAAATATACAATATAGAGGTGCCTAAGCTAATACATGTCTTAAATTTGGGTTTATACTTTATTGTTTATAATATTTGTAATTCTCTACCCTTGGCATCGTTGATTATCTACAGAATTTATTGCTCATTGTGTCAGTAAAAAAGTCATCAACCAATATGAAAATATATATGTGTATATGATATATATATATTAAATTATGTTACAGTAAATTGTGTGTACATAATAAATATCGTTTTTATATCGATTGCTTATATTATGCATCGCATTTAACAATAGACCCAGTACACACGCACACACGGCTGAGATTATTACGTAGGCTATCAATACTGCGGCGTACCTTATTTTACAATAGAAATAACACGTGCTAGTCATTGTACGTGTTTTTGAGGCCATCTGGTTGCGAGCTGTAAATAACCGGAAACGGATGAAGTCTACATATTACATCCCCTTGAGAGTTCGCGCATGAATACAATCTCATATAAATCTAGTTATTTTTGTCCAAAACTGTCTCATACATACGTCCTGTATACTATTATTTCAATTTTCAAGACAATCAACGAGCAAGATATTAATAACACGTTTGTACAATGTCGCCGAACACGCATAGGAAGTGGGGTAAATACCCCAGAACTTTTGAAAAGAGGTGGTCCCCCCCTCCCTTTAGCCGGATCGGGTGAGTGTTTAGATGTCACCTTTAAACACGGTTTACCCCAGTGGCTTAATATAGGTTGGACGCCACTGCGTGTGTAAAAGACTTCTGATACATATTATCTATAATATACATATTTTACTGTTAGTACACATATACTCCATATCAATGTTATTAATTATAAAAAAACAACTATCTAGGTATATATCTAAGTGCTCTAACTGATATTTATGAATTATTCAAGTTTTAATGAGGATTTTGTAAGTTTCAAAATCTGAACTTCGCAGGGCTTAATGTCTTACATTTTAAAGTTTAATAAGCACTCTGAAGTCCTTACAAATTAGTTTTTAAGCCTTAGTATATCTGATCGTATAGTATTTATTAGGTATCAAACTTAAGTATATTTTTGAATCTGAATATCTAAAACTGGTACCTAAAGCTCTAGTCGACCATAATATGACGTATCAAAGTTTTGTAAATTTCGGTTTGGGAATTAATAATATTTAATATTATTTCATTGAAAGGTTTATGTATTCATACATTGTAAATGATAACAATATTAATATATTGAATTATTAGTTAATGATTTATGCGTAAAAGCAGAATTATTGGTATTTGTTTTTCAGTCATATGCATTGTAGTTTCTGAGCAGTGAATTGATATTACCTATATTACTGTATGTGTGTAATCATGAGGATGGTTTCTGGTAGAACATTTGATCTAGTTGGTACTTTTGAAAGGTAAAATTCCCAGTAATTTTTATAAGCGTCGGGTTGTACAAAATAAAAAATAAGAAAAAACAGGAATTTTTACGCAAATCCAGTTTTTGATAATATTGATGAAGTATGTTTTTTTTTCTAGTAACTCAAAAACAAATAACTTGAAATTAATGCTTGACATTTTCACCAAATTTTGTTATGACCATCTCCCATGCAAGATTACATTTTTGACTCTTATTACGCTATTTAAAGACAATTACATTTTTCATTTTTTTTTTTTGTTCTTTTGTAATAAATGTCGATAAAAAAATATTCGTCTGGTCAAAAAGTTTAAAAATGTACCTAATACAAGGTTCCACACATAATAGCAGTTTGAAAATATTTAAGATACATATCCACAACTTATTTATTTGCAGAAGTACAATTTTTGACGAAATTCATCAAAATGACGAAAATTCGTAAATTATCGTGATGTTTAAAAATCATAACATTTTTAATTTTTATAGCTAAGGATTAGAAAGTATTTAAAACAAGGTTTCTCATAACTAGTCATAAGTACACTCTGCACGGAATAAGAACGTACCCGGGCGGCGGACCAAAACAGGTCCTGCTGACGACTATAAATATAGAATAAATAAATGTTATAACCTTACTACCTTAGATAGTTAGATTATATAGGTACTAGTATATGATCTAAGGCTATAACAGAATGCTTATAAAGTTATAAGTATGACAAGGGTGCTGGTGGGGAACTGGTCGCCGTCTGCGCGACCTGGTACGTTATTATTCCGCCCAGAGTATATTTCATATTGTAACCAAAAAATCAAAAAAATATGTCAACACAGTTTATTGTTATAGATATTTTAAGTTTAAATTTGAATAAAATTAGAAGTATACCAAATTAGATATTTAAACAAAGAATAACAGTTTCAATTATTTTGTTGTAATTTGAAAATATTTTAAGTGGGTACTTGAAACTGTTTAAGGTATACAAGCATAAAAGTACTATATTATTACACACAATGACATTCTAAAATGCTATGTTTTCGGAAAAAATTAATTCAACCTACTGTGTGTCAATATTACAAATGGTAAAATGTTAAGCTACTCTAATGGCAATAATATCATAAAAAATACTTAGTTATATTGGCTCACAGACAATCTTCACTCAGAATTGTTTTTTGTACATAATGTTAATACAATTGAATTTAAATTTAACACATACATTACAGTGACCGATGTTGAGGGAGGTGCAGTAAAAACCTACTATACAGAGAGTTCTATTTATTCTGATGCATCACTGATTAAAAACTTCAAAGGCTCAATCATACTAGGAAAAGCTTAATCTTTTTTCCATCCTTGATTTGGAGCCACACATTATCTTATTCTTTTAAACTTTTCTTGAACTTCTCACTCTGTTCACTTTGAAACAGCCCTGTGACCTGCAACATTTCTCATCTATTCAGATGTTCTACAATGTTATCAAAACATGCTTACTTTAAGTACTTACCTTATTCTACTCCTTAGCTCATTCAACAATCATAAATAATAATATATACAAATTAATATGGGTACTAGACACTAGTTAAAATAATTTTCTAATTGATGATTTTTTTTTTTTATGAAATTATTTAATACTAATTTTTTTTTCAAATATGTGTTTTAGGTGAAGTTGTGGCAAGAATCGTTAGCAAGCACTGATGTTTCTGAAATGGACACAGATCAAGATGTAGAATTTCCATTACCACATTCATATTCTGTATCATCTAATGATTTATCACTGAGTTCACTAGAAATTGCACCAGTGATAAGTAACAAATATCAGAATAAACATGAATGTCGCAGTGATTCATCTGGTTGTGGTATGTCTTCAACCAGAGTCTCTAAGGAAAATACATTAGTAAGCGGTATTAATATATTAGTTGATAACAATGAATTGTGCTCTCCCAGTGAAATGGTAAAACTACACTCCTCTACACCTATAAAAAATATTGGGCATAATTTAAATTCAACTAAAACCAAAAACACAACTGTATCAAACAAACAAAATGATGAATCACAAAAACGCCGTTCATCGAAAAAACATAGAAAATCGGTAACTAAGTTATAAATCATAACTATTCTAAGTAAATTATTGCTTATTGGTTTACCTAACTTTCGATTTTTTGTTTTGAATATATTAGTAGGTACTTTAATAAATCTAATATCAAAATATTAATACTTCTAACAAATTATTTTTAGAAATCTAAAATTGAAGAAAGCCAATGCCCAAATGAAGTAGACGAATTTATGTGCCAATTTAAACATTGCATTGGTGTCATAAATGGAGTAGTCACAAAAATGGAAGAAAGCTTTATGTCACAGAGATAATTTTTTTAAAATTTAAAATGTATTGTGCCTTTTTTACATACCTATGTTATTTAATAATGAATCGAGTTTCAAGGTTTATTAAAGAGAATCTTGTATATATATAGTATCTATTTTTATATTGAAGAGATTCTTGTCTTATTATACAACTGTTTTGTTATGATTTTTGTTCAAATGTTTGTTTTTTTTTATATATTGTCATTAAAATTAAATTAAATTAAAAAAATTAATATTTTATTATGTTGTTAGGTATAGGTATAACCAAAACTTATATTAGACTGTTAAGCTAGAATGTTCTGTTAATACAAATTTAATATAATATTACTTTAGTATACTGTATTCCATGAATTACGTTACAAAAATGAATTACTTTTATCTATTTATTGTAACACACATTGAACAGTTCAAAAACTATAAATAAGTATCTTAAATTCTAGACAAGCCCATGATAATTGATAAATATATATATATGTATACAAATAATTTTTTCCCAGAAAGTCCATACCATGTTATCATCCATTTTATCATGACTTATTAATTGTAGTTCTTATTGAACTTATATAATATATTAATAGAAATTATTATAATAATAATGTAACAATTAATTAACTCTTTATATGAAAGCTTCTGCCAATGAACTAATTAAAATTAAATTTATAAGTGCATCAAAACATATTTCTAAAAATGCAAGTAATTATTATATAAATTAAGGGTACAGAAACTTTGCAAATTTTGTAACTTTGTTATTAAAAATCTATAATTCAATTCATATATGTATGTATCTATATTATTTTTAAACTTATGGTTTATGTTTTTTTAACAAAATATTGTCATTGTTAATCTAATTATTCTTATGTTTACTATTTAATATTTTGTTTAAGTGTTAAACCCTTTGTTTATTTCTTTTTATGTTAAGATTTTGTTTATTTTCTCATAACACAATATTTTGCTTTTATGTTTGATTATGTAATCATATATGTTTTTGACTAATTGAGACAATTGTAACCTTAAGTGCCATATAAGTATCTGTCTGTAGGTGTGTTTAATTGTTAACGACAAGACTGATTCTATATAAATAAAATACTAATTTATTGTTTACAATTTGTTTTTATGATTCTTTATAACACGTTCAAAATAAGATATGGATTATAATATTATATGCTCTTTGAACACATATTATTAGAAAATTATGCCGGGTTTAAGAAATGGTTACGATGACTTAAAGTTTAGGCCTCATCTGTGGTTTAAAGTTCATGAATCATCATTGATTTTAATGCCGTGGCGTATTTAGCCCCCTCTCCCCAAGGTAGATACATCTAGGTACCGCAGTACTTTTATCATGATAATAAAGATAAATTATTTAGTTTTAATCAAATGAAGGGTTCAAAAGTTTGTTAATATTTTTTATAAGTAGTAAAACAATTAAACTATCATTCATTTTACTTTTTTTATTAGCTTCTATTTCACAACTTAATTTCTGTGTTGAAGGGAAGAGGCATGCACCACTTATAGAATGTTTTTTACCAATTATCCAACTATTATTTATATTTAGTCAGTTAAAAAATATTCAATATTTGTTATACTTCACATGATTTGTATGTTACAGTCTTGTGGATAAAGTTTTAAAAAATGTAAGAGATATAAGATGTTGAAGGTTACGACTTATGGTGACTTACTCTCGTAATTTAGTACATGGTGTAAACTTTCAATCTAAAATTAATAATAATTGACCCAGTTGGCTAGCCACACAAATTAAAAGTACTGAATGATTAAATTGTATGAAATCAATAAATGTTCTAACTCTAATCCATATTATTATATTAGTCTATATTATAATTATTTTTCTATGATTACAAGATTTCAGTTTAAATGTATAGTTAGTTTTAAAATGTTCAAAGAACAAAAAAAAAAAAACCATGCTAAGTAAATTATTATGCCACATAATTTGTGCTCATGAATGGGTTAATTCTTATATTTTTTAAATATTTATATAGTTATTAAATATAAGTCGTGCATATGTACATAATCGGGTCCTAGGTGATCCATTTAAGAGGACTCTACGCAAACATTTGTTGTTTCACTTGTTTCCGTCTTACAAGTGTGCAACATACCAAATTTAAGATCTATAACCAATTTACAATTTTAAAATACTTATAACTCACTTTGAAATTAAAATACAATAAAAAGCCCACGAATTGCCCTAGTTATTAATCTTACTTTTAAATTTGATTAGAGGTCAATACACTCTAATTTTTGAACTTACGGAGCTAAACGTGATCTGCTGATCATAAAATTTGGTATGTTGCTAACTTGCGTCTTGCGTTCACTTGTAAGACGGAGACAACAAAATATATCCACGTAGCGTCCACTTAACAAAAGAAACTTATTATTTTAAAAACTTAACTTTTTTAAAAATAATTTTAAATCTTCAAAAATAAAAAATATTTTTTACTATTTTTCATTGTATCATTTTTATATTGTTCATTCTTAATTCCTTATTCTAAAGCAAAATATTTTTTGTAGTACTTACTTGATAAATACAAATCAAACTTGACGAGACGAATTGATGAGTTATATGTATTTAAAGTTCTGATGAGTGAAGTGGCACGTATACACTAGTACTAAAAAAAATTGTACTCCAATTAAATTTTTTCATTATTTTAAGTCTTAAATTTGTGAATTGAATATTTAAATTGTATTTTTGGACTTGTTCGACTTTTTTCAAATCGGACTTTCTATCTCTGGGATTCAAAAGCCACCAAACAGTAGGTATGTAATATATTATTTGTTCTGTGCTATATACTACTCCGTTCATTTAATCTCTTATGTTTATAAAATTATAACTAACAGACTACTTGTCGAGAATTCGATTTTTATAGATCGAAATAAGTACTCCGATGAATATTCTGCTTCAGCATATTATGGGATAAAAAGAATTATGCTGTGACTTGTGATTCAAAAGGGTAAAAAACCATAAAAATGATTAAGATAAAAATATTTAAAAATGTTGTTTTGTTACGACTTAAAATTATGTATAAAATATTTTCAAAAACGGAAACATTCGTTTTTACTGAAATTATTATATTGCATCATATACATGATGATGCATAATAATAAACAACTATTTATTACTTAAACAATATGGACCTAGGTACTTAAGTAGGTATCATAATCATTAATCATATTATAGATAGGTAGGTTGAATACTTTAATCATTCATACAGGACACTTCTAAAATGAATATTTAATAGGTACCGTAATATTTTACGATTCCTCACGTACCTACCGTATAATATATGGCCATAGCACATAGTAATATCTACAATTGTAGTCAACAAATTATAAAATATACAATTCCGTCAGTACGTAATGCGGATGGAATTCGAATGTTTGATTATGTAAATATATTACATTTTAGATGACCGTAATTGTATGATATATACAAGGTGATGCATTTCCTAGCTACATTTCCTGCTTTTATGAAAGTAAGTGTCTAACTGTTCGTGACTTGATTTAGAGCAATGGAAATTCATTTTTGGAAACTTACTTTTTATTTTTGAAACATGCAATAGTGGTATTTTTTCTACATACCTACTGTATATTTTGTTAAAAATGTGTCACATTAGCCATTCGCATGCGTTAACTCACTAAAGTCAACAAATAACAAATAATGAAATATGCATCATTAGGTAACTATAGCTAGTATAGCTCATAGGTAACATTACGATTTAATTTATATATTTACCACTACAATATTATTTGTTTATAATAACTACGGGCATGAGTAAGTAATGATAATAAGTAATCATTTTTTTTTTCGTTTATTATAATGAGTTATTTTCAATCTGTGCCTACTAGCCACTAGGATGCACAATAAGTAAAAATTTTGGTTACAATGAAAAGAACGGTGTAGACTTGAAGGAGCTTCACATTAGAAACCTCTGAGCTTCAGTAAAGGTAATACCTAATGAATGATTTTATTTATAGCATATAGTAGCCAGTAGCCACAGTGATCAGTCAAAAAGTCCAATTTGAAATACAGTTTTGACTATTTTTTTTGTCTGTTGGACAAAGAGTCAGAGCACATTTTTTGAGACAGACAAAATGTTTGAAAATACGAATAATTCAATTTACAAAATTGTCAACACAAAAGTATAAGTCAAATTCAAAATCTGTATTTGTACCTTTTGAATTCGACACAATCGTAGATACTTAATTGTATAGGCGCATAACTGTATAAGAAATAGTAATTGAATTAAATATTATTTAAAGTCTTAATTTTGTTGATTGAATATTTAAATTGTATTTTTCGACTTGTTTTAAATCGGACTTTCTATCCCAGGGATTCAGAATCTACTCATCAGTATAATATATGTAATATGATATTATTTGAATTAAAAAATATGTAGGTCCCTATATTTAAAAAAAAATAATAGATCCCATGCCCGGCAGTTGGCAAACATGACAGATATTTATCAATACCCAGTTAGAGGTCGATGAGTTATTCCAACATCTAAAGTTATATTATATTACTAGTTACTACCTTGTCTCCTATTTACTTCTATAAATACGTATGCTTATATATGTGATATGTATGCTATATAATATATAGTAGTACGTATGTACATATGGTAGTACATATACTATATATAGTATGTACATATGGTAGTACATATACTATATATATATATATATAACACATGTTTATCTAGAGAATGTAACAAGAAGAATTCTACCTCACCAGTCACCATGCTATACCAGCAAGTATTAATGATCGAGAGTTGAATGTCACTCTGCATCGAGCTAAAAAAAATTCTGATTCTAAAGTATTTAGTGTCAAATATGCCGCCGGCATAAAATGTTCTGAATGCAAACTGTCTGATGTTAAATGGGAAATAGCCAATGCCCAATGGCAACGAGGAATTAGATGACCAGCGGCGTATTCAGGAATTTGTCATGATGGGGAGAGTCCTGATAATTTTCAGAACACGGCCCTGTGTGGGGCTTTAACCACACCCCCAATTCCTCTTTATAAAATAAATATACTATATTAAATGTATAAGTCTATGTAAAGTGTTTGAGTTTTAAATTATTTCATACAATATATATTTGTGTCCATAACCTTTGTAATAATAATAAACCCATGGTAAACTCACTAATTATTTAAGCAGTTCACTAGTAAACTAATTCATTGCCGACATAGGTACCTAGTCAGTTATTCATGATAACAACAATCCAAAATGTATAATTAAGTGTTATAAAAAAACACACGAGTTAGTTAAGGACTGTTTATACTATCAATCGTAATTAAATAACATAGGTATTTTTATTGTGAGATTGCAAAACAATATCTAATCGCCTAGGACTTAGCGCGATTTTATTATACTGATCGCATCCACATTGATCAATTTTTCATTTTCACATTGATCCTCGAGGAGTACGTCCCGACGAATAGACATCAATGCCAGTCCAATCTAAACACAACTATCGATATAAACTACAACTTGCATTACCGCGGCTTTTAATAATGCGACGATGTTGCTTTTTTGTACTAACCTTCCCCGATGTCAATAACATCTGGTATTCTCATAACGCATATTTCGACGATCCTTACATGGCGTTCCAATAATCCAATGCCTATCTCAAGTGTTATATATTTGGTATGTTTATTGGTGGGACATAGGCACATAGCAATTATTAACTACAATGGATTACCATTTACCCGTATGTTTAATTAATATTTTTAAAGTTTGGGTTCAATTTTTTAATGTTGTTTCAGCCTTCAGGCTCAAATTTATTACAAATAAATCTGATGTAACGGCATTAATTAAAGGCAATAAAAAAGTTGCTCGCTGTGGATTTAGCAGTCAGCTGATCCAAATATTAAACCAAACAGGTTAAGTACTAAAATATAGCGTTATTTTTAATTAATATAGGTATAATTTTGTAAAAATAGTATTAGGTCATCACTTACTTATTAATTATTGTTAGTATTAAATCATTTACAATAGCATTGATTATGAAACATTTGACATTTTCTCTGATGAAGAAGTTCGACAAGGATTAAAAGTTTATTTTGATCGGTCAGCATTCTCACATGTTTATGTAAAAGATCATTCTTTGGAGATTTGGATATAATCAAAGAATTGAAAGAAGGCCAAGAGTTTATTTTTACTCTTAAAGGAGAAGTAGAGAAAAATAATACATATAGTTCGGTATCACTTTTTTTCAATTGATTATTTGATTGATGTAGTTTAATTCATTGTCTGAAGAAAGTCGGATTGCTTACCTAGGTAGCTATAACGCCTAACTTGAATGTTAATCGATTTTCGCTTGAGGTGACGGACTTGCCAGACATTCCAACACAGATTTTGAATTAACATTTTTTTACATACGAAAAATCACCGGACATGCGACTGGGAAACGAATTATTCAATTGCCGATGTTCGTGGATGAAGTGAGATTTCTAAACACTGATACAGTGATACTGGAATTTCAAACATTCCCGCGTTCGAAACAAGGGTCCAAGCTTTATCAAAAATCCTTATCACTTTCTAAATGTTTGTTTTTTAACAGGAGTTTTCAACAGGAGTGACTTCTCTAAGACATTTCAACGACATTGTCGTCTGCATCGCCGAGTAAGAGTTTCACAACAGCGAGTTTCATTGGCAGCTAGTAGATAATATTTTAAATGTTTACTAAAAAATACCAATTTATTATTTCTAACAAGAGCTTATAGGTATATCCACGATTTAAGATAGTACTATCTTAAATCGTGGGTATATCTAAGGTGGATATATTATTTCCACCTTAGATATAAATATTATATTTATTAATTATTATTTTTAGATATCGTAAGACCTAATCAAATATTATTTCAAACTCACGGATTTTGTGGTACCACTGTGGCAAGGTTTATAGATAGTAATCTACCTCGGCGCCGTCACTCCGCTCCGCAAATCGAAAATATCCCTCGACTTGCTATGCAACACCACCTCAAGTTGGTCACTGTGTAACCGATGTTATACCAAAGAACAACCACTCTTATCATTTCGACATCGGCCAAAAGCTTATCACTACCGCTATCAAAATCGGGAAATCTGTCCCGGCCACAGTATGTTTATATATCAGATCTGTGGTCCCGGCCCCACACTGTGGTCATATTTGTTGACATTTGAAAAGAAAAATTTTGTATTATCTTCCTCTGATAAGAATGTTTTTGTAGATTACAGATATCAATGTATCATGCATTAATTGGTAATGTTTTTTAATATTTTATTATATTTTTATATGTATTATTATTTATTTTATACTTATAGTTAACGTTAAAAAATTATATTGTTAGTGTTCGGTTTCTCTTAAGAGCATTTGATTATTATTTATTTATTTATTTTTCTTTCAAATTTATATTTTGCATTGAAATTCAATTTACAATATAAATCTGTATTCTGTACATAACACAAAATTACATTTTCATTACTTACGATATTATATTTTTTAAAATGGTCGTAAACAATAGACAAAAAAATAATCTGTTGAATAATTTTAAAATAAATGAGGTAATGTACCTAATATTTGATAAAAAAAATAATAAATTAATGGTTTAGTCGTTAAAGATTGAATGGTTGATTAGCTTTGGACCGTTAAATCACGGTTATCTGTATACCAGTGGCTGTCAAATGATTTTTTAATAATGAGGGATGTGTGGCTTTTATTAACATGCACCATTTGATTATTAAAAATATAGTTAATTATTTATATTACTATAAATATTTAAAAAAGTAATAATAGATCTATCCCCCTCATCACCACCCATTTGATATCCACTGTTGTGTAACTATTATTTGAATTGATCTGTTAATTGATTGAAACTAAGTACTTATTTACAATAATTGTATTGTAATTTAGGTACCTATATTTTGATAAAATTTAAATATTTAAATAAGTTTTTAGTAATTTACAAATCTTTCAATTTAACAGAAAAAACTATCATTGCTGCTTAGAAAATATTAATAAGTAATAAATATGCATTCATTTATTTGTCTATTATCCTTAACTATTATTATTACTTATTGCCATGATATCGCTGAGCTGCAATATTTTGTAATTCATAAAAGCTAAAAAACAATATCTATTTGTTATTTACCTTTATAACTTATTTGTTGATAATAATATGTTTGTAATTAACTTTTTTAGGTTGAATCAGAAGAAGTAAATTTGGAGAATCTGAGTATAAATGAAGTATGTGACATTTTTATTATTAATTTGTAGTTTTTCATAATTTTCTTCTTAATATTGAATAAGTAATTGGTGAAATATATGAAAAAAATATTATTTGTACAATTTTAGGTACAAACAAATATTATAAAGCATTCTTGGCAGTATACTGTTCAATTGAATCCAATTACGTTCTATGAAAATAATTCAGATATACAAGTAACTATCAATTAAAATAAATAATTACTTCTTAATTTAATTTTAATAAATCTATTTATTATAGCCAAATAATGAACACCAAGTCTGGAAGGAAACTCATTACTTATCGGTATGTTGCATACTTATTTTTATTTTGAGAATGCTTGATTAATTTTATTTATCATTTTAAGTTGTATAAAAATGTATTATCTATATTAAACAAACTTACTTGGACAACATTTGATCAGCTAGTCGATGAATTTCAAAAATTGCCAATAGAAAATGTGGAATGTCTTGAAAATATTGCTAATATTGTTGCTCTTAAAGTAAATAAAATAGTACATTTTTGTGTAAACCATATATAAAAAATGTATTAAATCAAATTTCATTCCAGGCTTTTGACGAACCTTCATTTGGATCTTTATACGCCTCTTTATGCAGAGTTCTTGACATAACTATAAGTTGTCAAACTGGAAATCATCTAACTTACCAGAAGTCATTAAAAAAATGTGTAGTCACATTTTGTCAGAATTATTTTCAAAAGCAATGTTTAAATGACACTGAGACATTACTTATGTCTGTGGAACAAGAACAAAATCAAAGAAGACTTAAAATGCAAACAATTGGTTGTGTCAGGTACATTGCTTAAATTAAATACTTAAGCATACTGCAGACATTATACCCTCTTGTGTTACTTCCATCATATAAACTCATAATATAATAAATTTTAAGTTTAGAATAATCCATTTTAATCTGTAATTTTTAACATTAGAGAGATTTTTATTTTTATTTATTTTATTGGCTAATAATTATCAAATTATATAGGTAAGAATATATCCGGGCCCTACATAGGGTTGTTTTTGATACTTTCAAATATAAGAACAATTATGGGTCTTTTTACTTATAAACTTTTCCTATGTGAATTTATTGGTGAAAGATTTCCATACCATTTTCCTATGATTCCTGAGACATAATTATTAGAAAATAGAATGATAACATTTTTTTCATAAAATAATTAATTGTTATTAATATTTCTGTTTTTAGATTTATTGGTGAAATTTTTAAACAGTCATTAATATCTCCGTATGTTGTTCACTACTGTATAAAAACGTTGCAATCTAAAACTAAAGAAAGGTCTCTTGAGTATCTTTGCAATCTTCTAAAAGTAGCTGGCAAAGAGTTAAATGAAAAAGTATTTTGAATTTTTATTTGTCATTCAAGTATTTTAAATTATTAAATAAAATGTATTAGTAATAACCTTTTTCAATAATTACAGATAAGTTTGGCAGATATATTCGAACATTTAATATATTTGGTATCTGATGAAATGAGATCTAAAATATCACCTAGGATACGATTCATGGTTAAGGATGTAATTGATGTGGTTATGCCTTCAAGAGTACTTTAAATCAAACCACTAATCCTAATACACAATATTGGATTATAGTTTATGTACAACATATATTTTTAAAAAAAGTAAAAATTATAAAAGGTTGTATTTTAAATTGATTTCAAAACTATTAATATATTTAATGATTATAGTTCTATGAATCATATTTAGTTTTGGAGCTTACGACTTACAATGTTCACCTTTTTGAAGTTAACCACTGTGCTATATTTTGATGTTTGATTGTAGCAGTGTTCACAAAGATAACTCCAAAAGGCAATTTCAACTTTGACATATTTTATTAGTATAATAACTATTTAAAATAATCTGTGATATGTATTGATGCAAAACTATAATGAATAAAAATATTAAACCATTTTGTTGGTAATTATTGTTGCTAATATGTCTTTAAATTATTCAAAATTAATATTTTTGCATATTTAGTTACTTACATTTGCAAAAAAATTAGAAAAACTGGAATTTTTACACAAAGCTAGTTTTTGACAAAATAAAATTTATTTTTTTCTAATAATTCATGAGTGTTTGAAGCTCAAATTTGTTTGACATTGAATATTGTTTATCCATTTAACGATTTCTGGTGCAAAAATTTTCTTATTTTAATGTAATTCAATAACAAATAACTATAAATGGGCAGATACTTGGAATTTTTTGTTTTCGCTTTTTGAAATGCATTTGTCATAAAATTTCTGAGTTCTCCTCCCTTTTTTCATTTATTAAAATGGTTGGTTTTTATATACTATACAGTTTTGTGTACGTTTTATAGCTATCTACCTAACCTTGGAAATTTTAAATTAAATGTAATATCTCAAAAAGTTATGTACTTATGTTATATAAATTGTAAGTTTAACTAAAAAGTAAAAAATGAGATGGTTATAATTTGTTTGATTCATAATAATGAAAAATTTTCAAATATTAAAAAGAAATGTATATGTTTTAAATCATGTTTTTTGACAGAATTTTTGGTTTAACTTCCAGTGTGTGAAACTTTAAAAGTTGTCCTGCTGTGTATTATAGAGCATATAACACTATTTATAGGCATCGTCATTAGTAGGTTATTGATAACACTGACCCATTAAATGTGTTGGATTTAACAATAAATCATTTCCTATGAAAAAAATTGTTTACTATATTATAGTTTTAAATAGTTGTACCTCTGAATACTAATTATATTTAATCATATCCATTGTATAAAATCTAGTGTTATCCTAAACAAGCGATACACTATGTGAATACGTCTACTTTAATAGATTACTGCCCAATTATATAAAACAAATAGGCTATTCTTTGCTTTAATTGACTCATAGATCGTTTTTTGATACTTGACACATCATTTTACAATTGTTTTAACAGCTTATTTACTTTTAAACATTTTTTATGGACTTACCCTATGTTTTTAAGAATTTTCGTTGTGTTCAGATATCTTAGTGTTTGATTGCGTATACAATATCGGATACTTTTATCATACATTCATACATTCATAACTATACTCCGTTCGCCGAGAGAATGTGGTTACTCCGCGCATACGACTGGAGTCCATGGGTGTGGATTCGGGTGGTTGTTGGCGTTGCGGAGTCCGCCACGTTTTGAATTGTGCGCAATAAGTTATCATGTAATTATGGACGATATTGAACCTGTAGAAATGTACCTATTTTGCCTATACAACGCGCCGGACAACACATTATGGTTGACTGGTTGAGCGAAGTATGTAAAACTATTAATTTGTGTACCCTTCATTATCGTCAGTATTTACGACAATACGACGACTTTTACCGTACCTTGTACCTAGAACTATGCCCCAAATAAACAAGGTTTCAACGGTACATATAGTTTGGCATAAATGTTTCAAGTCCCTACGAATAATGATTTCAAACTATGATAAATTAATACTAACATTTTTTTGTTGAAATATTCAACTTTTTGAAATTTGAACCTTATATTTCCGTAAAAAAACTGTGCAAGTATTTTTAATATATTTTGAAGCATTAAGCATTTAAATTTACTCTAGTTACGTTTTATTTATGTGGCCGGATGGAAATAATATAGAAAATGTATGGCACGATATGATATACGATTTATTAATAGTCAATGTATAAATATAATAGTGTTAAATTAATAATACAATAATAATATAAATTAGTCTACCCGGCGGGGCCGAGAGGGAGGAGATTAATTTGTTCTGTCCGCCGTGGAATTCATCATGTGTATTTATACGAAAACGAAAACATTGAGCCTCGACTCTCGAGTGGGTCGTTGTTTGAGGACACGTCATGATTGGACGAATGCTTGAATTACGAGAGTATATATGATTTATAAAAATGATATATATGGGCTGCGTAGAATAACGATTTCGTTTGGTGGTATTTGGCGACGCACAGAAACAGTAAAAATTAATACAAAAATATGAAAAATTACATAACTATACGCTGCAGAGTTGTGATATACATAAAATTATGCATGACAACAGGCCGGTGTGTTATTATATATTATAACTGGATGACAATATTATATTAATACATAATATTATTATTCATTTTAGAGACTATAAACGCTAATGAGTTTAAAAATTACAAAAGTAGGCGTCGTTAAAAGCGATTTGATTATAAAATAATATTTTAAACTAAAAAATAAAAACAACGGTTTTTTGTTTTACGAAATTATATAATAAAATATTGTTGTTGTCTTAAGCGTTGCCCGCGGTTGTTGGACTGCGGTGCGTTTTGTTCGTCGATCATATTATTCGTTTCTTTGAATGATATTGTTGACGTCGTGTCTGAAAACAGTAAAACAAAAGGCAAAAAATCAGAATACGTCTGGTTGTCGTGTTTTTGTTCGTCGTGTCTTTACCACTCCGTGCGATTGGCCCCAAGTTGACATAAGCAGAAGCGGATTAAACAAAACAAATTATTGTTTTACATATTATTAGGTAAAAATAGTTGTTCAAATATATATCGCTAAATGATTGACCCGGACGTGGTACAGATAGCGTTGCAGTTGTTCCATAAAATGGAGGAAAATAAATTAAAAGAGGGTGCTTAACCGTAAATGTTTTGTATTAAAATAATGCTTTATTGTGTCTTGGGTAAGGGTGTTCTTTTGGATCGTATATATAGACACTTACAAACGTTTAGGTACACACAGAAAATTTGTGTTCAAGCAGAATCGATTTTGTGTCATACACAATAAGGATGAATTGAACAAATAATCAAATTTAAGAGTAAAAATATTTTCTAATGCATTTTATTGACAATTTAATGTATTTTTTATCTTTAAAGCGAGGCATGAACATTTTTAAGTTGTAATATTTTATACATTTATGATTCGCTTTAAAATTTAAAATTCAACAAAAACCCTACAGTGGCTACAATTCACTATTTAATATTGAAACTATTATCATAAGATGAATCATTCTGAACACATATTTGTATAAATATTATAAGGGTAAGGAGTGTCTGCGAGTCTTTGACAGGATCGTTTTAAAAACAAATAGCGAATTGACTATACCATCCATAATTAAAGCAGAAAAATCTGAGTTGTTCTCGCTCCTGCAGACGTCTTCGTAGAATAAAAATTATAACACTCATGCCGGGTTGCATGAAAAATGTGTTGATATTTGATAAAATGGTTTAATAATACAATGTAATGGGCCAATCCTGTGCGTCATATTTTAAGGATAACTAATGATTTGTTAAATATTTAGAGATTGTTCATGCGACCCGACATTTGTAGCAATAAAAAGAAAACCATTACTAAGTAAACCAACAATACGTAAAGGTGCGTGTTTAAGTAAAAATATGAAAATATTGACCGATACAAGATATTTATTGCTTTAAACAAATGTTATTACTAAGTGTATATTATTATAATATACGCCATAAACACAGACGATCGCGAGTGCCGTGAAAGTCGTGACAAAAATGAAACATTATTATCTAATTAACAATATAATATAATCTTCCCTTAACACAACATAATATTATTGCAACGCGTTGGAACATCAAAATAGCTTAGCAGCTATTGTTGATTTTGAGTGGTGCGATTTTAACGTTTACAAATTTGACCTACCTATATATAATATAACACAAAATTAACTACTAACAAGGCTGTGAATTTGATAATATATTAGTGTTTTTTTTTGTTTTGCGTTGTTACTTTATAGAAGAAATTAAAATGTCGGTTAAAATATTTTGTTTCACTAGAGTGAATATAAAAACTAATTTTTTGTATATTTTTCTTAATTTTAGTAAATTATTAATGTCGATGTGTATTTTGATTGGACAAAGAGTCGAATATAATTGTAATAATACCTACTGATAAGGGTTTTTATTTTAATCAAGGTAGATGCATAATATGTTAATGAATATAATAAATTCCGAAGAAAAATGTCAAGTGAATTAGGTAAATACCAAGTAATCTCCGCTATACTTATATTATATTTTTGTTTGGAAAACGCAGAAAATAGGTATATATTATGAATAATATAATTGAATAAAAAGAATAGGGCAGTTACTAACGTAACCTTAATAAGAATCAAATAAAACATTCTTGCATATTTTGAAGTTTTCGTGGATATTTTGGTTATGTTTAATGTGCAAGTGTATACATATTTAATAGTTACCTTTACTTAGTGCATTTGATTCACAGCCCTGATAATAACAATACCTTTAGTAAATTCGACGAGCAGCAATTTTTATCATTAAGACATCCGTAGCCGTGAGGTGTACCCATAACCCACTATAAACACTACCCTGTAAATTGAAATGGTTTGTCGTGAATTTATACGTTTTGGGGATGCTCAGTATATGACGTAACAGGTTTTGACCATAACGAAAACATTAGTTGGACCGTAATCAAAATACGAAATGGACCATAGTCAAATTTATTTTTGTTTAAAATTCTAGTATGCACGTTGTATTGGCACAATTAGGGGTAACGTGGATGCTAAAAATCTTAAAATTATATTAGACACCCGGTTCCAGGTAGGAAAAATAAAGTGTATTAACTGCAGATGGGAAACGATTTTTAAAATTATACTAAGCTATGTTTACTTTAACCATTAAAATAAATATTATTAACCAAATAAGGGTCATTTTTTTTTTTTATAGATAGGTTATTTTTATGAACCAGTATTTTTAAATGAAATATATTATAAAGGAATAAATAAATAAATAAATAAATATATAAATAAATAAATAAATCTAACTCAAATTTGAAATTATACATGATTGTTTTTCACCATGGTCTGTTGTCAAACACTTGAGGATTACTCACTCCAATAACAAAAATCGACCAACCAGCATATTTACTAATGATACAAACATGTTATAAACGTTAGACTGTAGAAGTAATAAAAACATTTTATTACATTTCCTTTAGTACCTGA